CCCCAAAACCCCAAAACCCCAAAACCCCAAAACCCCAACTTGTTCTCTAAACATTGAAACCGAAATTTCCAAAATATCCCTTTACTCCTACCCATCATGGCTGAGCCTTCTCACTCTTTCTCTCGGCTCAACGCAAAAAACCCTTCATCTACATAAACTAACTTATGAAACAATTAAGTATAGACATCACATTTTGCTTCTGCTCGGGTTTTATTAGTTGGTAATAGAAGTCGAGGAAATTTTCGAACACTAAGTAAAACATCTGTGAGCTTAAAGAGTGCTTAAGGAAAGTTTTGAACCTTGAGTCATTGTACTTCTCCAGAACCTTAAATGCAGAACTCTCATCTTGTTGTTTTATTGGGAAAAGATTGAGGAATGAATGTAGATGAGTCTGATTTATAAACTTATACAGATATCCATCATTCAAATCTTCTTGGGATAGGGTAAGTCCTATTTCTTCAAATAAAGTCATCAAGCAACTTTTAACACCTTCTGCAGTTTTACACTCAGAGACATCGAACCTCTTTCTAAACAAGATTCGGAAGAACTCTCTCATATCTCTAAGAATCTTCTTCTTAAAAGTATCAGCTCTTGGCTTCTTGTTTGGATTAGCTATTCTCCTGCTAGTTTTAGAGTCAATATATTGCTTCCATTTGGGAAGGACTTGGGTCTGAATTAATTCATAAAGGCTAATTTGTTCTGACGATATCTTCTTCTTATCCAAAGAGGTACGGACATTATCTAAGTGTATAAATTGGCAAGACTTACTACTAGAGGAGTCTTGAGGTACAAATATTTGACTCACTTTTTGTGTGAAGGCTTCTCTATTCAGTCTCTATAACGAACGTTTACATCAGGATTTTCAAAACTATTTTTGTTAGTCCTCGATTTTCCACGAGAAAAGTTACCTCACAAAGCTTAAGAACAAACGTCAAGAAGGACTTTAGGCCAGGATTTTAGAGCTAATGTAGCGAACTAGATCTCATCTCAATCAAGAGGGTACTAAAAATTGATTTACTGCATTTTTAGTTCTAAACATTTCTAAAATTTTAAATGCTTCATCTTGTGGCAGTAAATCGAAGAATTAAAATTAAGCCGAATCTTACTTTAAAAATAGAGGCCTCATTGCATCTTTCGTGCGAGGATGGAATAGTGAAGGCTTTAGGTTCACTCTCCTCAGTAAGTCTCCCTCATGTTAACATTTGGGAAGACTCTGGCATCATTAACTTTGGCATATAATCTTCTCCGACTTCGATAGGAAGGACGATATTCTCTGATATTACATTTAGAGAGGGCATCGCATTTCTAAAATAAGAGTGCTCATTTTCTAATTTATAGCTCAGCATTAGTTCTTCACTACTAAATTCATGACTGATCATTGCCATGGAGGGTAACAGTAAGTTTTCATTTGCTTGAGAGTCACTAAAGTCTTAGTTAGGATACTTTGGAGACATTGAAAAGAAGAACTTTACTTATGATGCAAATCATTAAGCAAAAGAACTCTTTTAGGTGGAAATTTTGATTAAATACAGTGTTATAAGCATAAACTACATCAGCGCTAAGGCTTACCTCTGACTCCATGGATCGAAGTTCTTGAATAAGTCTATCATCTAATTAATAATTATAAATTATGTCTAACATCCATGAATTTATAGCGAATGGTTTGTCCGAAAATATGTCAGAAATTCCTCAGATATCAGGACCTATTTTAAGAGTGTTTTCTCCTTTCCTATCATTAATCACACTACAAAATGCTTCCACCATTAAGCATTTTGATCAAATTATTAAGCAACATTGAGCTGTGAATGAAAGTCATCTAGCAAGCCATTTTTCCAAATCCTGATCTAAATCACAGAAAATCATCACCCCATCATATGAAATTTTTATGGAAAATAGTAGTTATTTCAAAACAAAATTTCAAGCTCACTCTGCTCAGAAAAACCTCATGCATCAATAAGAGCATGATTCTTAGCAAACTCCATATTTCTGCAGTCAAAAATGCGTTCGTCACCATCAAGTCTTACTATTTTCTGTACATAAAAATCCTTTCCTCGAAGACTCTACAAAAGGAGAGTTCAAGATGTCTGGCTAAAGAAGAGGGTCGATAACCCCACAAACTTGTATGATAAAGAATATTTCAGGTTATAAAATGTCTAAACCATTAGTAATATTCTCTTCATAGAAATAGTAACAAATGTTCTTTCTGAATAGATATTAATTCTTTTAGTTTTCCAATCTTTGTGAAGAAATAATACTTTCTCATGAGTCTTGACAGGTAAGTGATTGGTAGAAACCTCCTCATTAGTAGATGATTCTTGATGTGCAGATAGATCCACTAGGAGGAAAAGTTAAGTTATTTTTATCAAATGTTTATTGTCTCTCAACATTTGAATAAATATCGCTACAATTTGTCAAAAATTTTAATTTTGTAACAAAATGATTTCTGATATTTTGAGACGTAACAGAAGGGGTATCAATTTTCTATCCAAAACTCACACTCTTTTCAGACAGACAGCAGACATGAGTTATGATGTGGGCAGAAATTCATGAATTAACCTCAGCAGAACCTAGCAAAGAGGCTAAATATCACTAAACTCTCTCATTAGTGTTCAATTTCTCATTTATCAAAATCTAGAGACTCTTTTCTTATTTCAAGGAATCTTAATTCGACGAATCATTTCTTAGACTTTTGAGAAGATATGTATAGGCTTTAAGAAACCTCCGGATTTTAAGAGCAATTTAGTTGCTAATGAGAGGACTAGCTTGAGATATTTTAGAAGGAACCATCTATTAAGCCTGCTCTGTATGTTCAATAAAACTCTAGAGCGAATTCTTCCGATATTTCTGAATATATCACATCAGTAATTCCAGAAAGTTTGGAGAGAATCTTAGAAAATCTAATTTTTCTGATTAACCTTATTTTATGAAACTGAGCTTGGGCTATTATATCGCAAAGGTTGGTGCCTAGGGCAGGTATCTAGCTACTAAATAATAGGCAGGCGTGAGCCTGAGGCTAGCTAAAGCACGAATCGTTCGTCTAAGTCAGTGGTATGAGTAATCATACAAGTGTTATAAGCACTCCATATCGAGCCTATGCTCTCTTCCAGATATCCCACAATCATAATGATTTATAGAGAAGAAAGAGTATTGAAGCTAGGGAGTTATGTTACAAATAATAGAGCAGATGAGCATAATGGCTTCGGGACATACCTCTCTTGAATGATGAGATGCTAATCCTCCCATTCCTCAGTCCCTATCCCACTTTTAAATTCTTGCCCAGCGGCTACGCCCGGTCGTTCAGATACTGTAGGGGCTGATTTTTGGGTGGTTTGGGAGAAGAGTGATAGCTTGGGGGTTGGAAGGGGGAGAGGGGAAATTGGGGGTTGGGGGATGGGGAGGAAGGGGGAGGGTTTATGGGGGCTGAAGAGGGAGGTGGATGGGGGGTTTGGGGGATGTTGGATTGAGTGAGGAATGGGATATTTCTGGTGGAAGAATGGTTGGAGAAGGAAAAGAAAGATGGATTCAGAACGGTTTTGAGGAATTCTGGTTTTTTTTGGCAGTGTTTATAAAAGATCTTTTAATGCCAACCTTCCATTTCAGAGGTTATTTCTCTTAAAAATGCTCTATGTTTGGAGTCCCATTGCTTTAATCTCAACCTTATCCGAGTCTCTTAAGTCTTTTAATTAAAGGCTCATCTTTTCTGAAATTCAGATAAGAGTTCCTAGTAAGTTCGGAGAAGACTACTTTAGAGCCTTTATAATTACTAAAAGGCTTACTTAGAGTATGCCTATAATTAAAACTGATCGAAAAGCAAGGCCCAATGTGAAATTTGGGATGCAAGGATCTTTATTAGAAGAAGCCATAGAAAAGAGACAGTAGGCAAAATTTGGAGAGGACAATTTTTGATACGATTCACTAATATTCTTGAGACAGCTCATCTTTACAAGACTCTTATTCTTCGTGTCTCAAGACCAAACCATTCCCACCCAAAATAAGACAACCATAAGCAGTAAACCCTCTCTAAAAATGCTCTAAAACCCATAAAAACTCCAAAATCAAATCTAAAACTCCAATCCTTCTCAACCACTCAACCCCCTTACTCATACTCTAAATCCCAGTCCCTCCTCCAACCTTCTTTAAAAATAACTAGACTCCTTCTAAAATTCCTCTTGTTCCCAAATTTTTCCAAATTTTAGGTACTTCCTTCATAAATCCTTGGACGTTCGGTTTTGGAAAGTTTATACCTAAAGAACTTTCAGCGAATTAGAGACAGATAATGGAAACTATAAACAATGACAGCATTTTGGCACTCCCCATCATCGGCCCATAAAAGTTAGGAGGATTCTCCAAGCCCCTAAAGACATAAAGAGATGCCAGAACAGTATAAAAAGTATCACAGAATCAATTTTAAAGCATGCTAGTAATTTGGACAACTTTATGCTACAAATTATTTCAACATTCTCTGTATGAAGCTATTGTTTTTAGAAAATGAGTCAGCATACCTTGGCTGTTTTGGAGTGGATCAAGTCTTTAGAGTAGGATTTAATGGAAGAGTTAAGAGTTTATTGGAAATTTTGAGATTTTAGTAGTAATAAGACAGCAAATGGGGTTTTCAATGTTGCTGACTTCTCCAGGGGTTTTGGGGTTTTGGGGTTTTGGGGTTTTGGGG